GCCACTGTGCCCACACTTATCTCCTGGGACCGAGGCTCCCTGGGCTGCTGGCCAGCTGCTTCCCCATTTCACAGAAGGGGTTGCTGAGGCATAGAGAAGGGTCTTACATCTGGGAACAGTTCTGGGGACATGGAGGCCAGGACTGGCATGGGCTTGTCTTCAGGAACTATGCATGACAAGGTATCTCCCTGGCACACAAAGTGACAAATGAGCCCATTCTGAGCAGTAGTAAGGGCCGTGGGAATCTCATTTTAAAAATCGGAATCATTCTAACATCAGTATTCATTTGCTGAAAGAGGCTGCTCAGAGTCCAGGCCTAAACCCACTGTCTCAGGCTTCTTACCAGTGGGTCATGCCCTCCTGCCCAACCCAGCTGCCAGGGGCTTCCAGGCCTTTAAGATGCCTGCCCCTATAAAAAAGCTGTGGTACATATGTACAATGGAAAATTACTCGGCCATAAAAAGAATAAAATCTTACCATTTGTGACAACATGGATGGGCCTAGAAGGTATTATGCTAAGTGAAATAAATCAGAGAAAGACAAATACCATATGATTTCACTCATATGCGGAATCTAAAGAACAAAATAAATAAACAAACAAAACAGAAACAGACTCCTAGATACAGAGAACAGACTGATGGTTGCCAGAGGGGAGGGAGGGGGAGAGATTGGGTGAAAAAGTTGAAGAAGGGATTGAGAAGTACAGATAGATTGGTAGTTACAGAACAGTCATGGGGATATAAGTAAAGCATAGGAAATACAGTCAATAATATTGTAATAACTATGTATGGTGTCAGGTAGGTACTAGACTTCTGGGGGGATCATTTTGTAAAGTATATGATTGTCTAACCACCATATAGTGCACCTGAAACTAATACAAAATAATATTAAATGTAAAGTGTAATTGAAAACTTAAAAAAAATCGTTCCATCTGAACAGGGCAGCTGTTCCTCAGCTCTGCAGAGTTTGACATGTGGGAAGGGAGCCCAAAGCTGCTATATCTCCTGGTTCTTTAAAAGATGCCACGTATCCAGATATTTCTGTGAAATACCTGAACTTCAATCACTGGCAACAGGTTCACCGTGAAAAAAGGGGAGTCTACAAGCCAATTAAAATAATCAACCTGTGGGTTGAATACTACTTTGGGCTGCTGGTTTGCACACTCAAGTGGTTGAAAACAGAGGCAAGAACCAAGATGAAATCCACACATCCATTTCAAGAGTAGATGCTAGTGCCCAGTCATTTTTCCAAGAGCAGGTCTCCCCAGTAACGGCTGATAAGAAAGTGATGGCTCTGAAGCGAATATAAAATAATATTGAATGTCAAGTGGAATTGAAAAGTTAACTAAAACCAAGATGCGAGTCTCCTGTTACATTCTGTTTCTCGAATCTAAACCTCCCAATCTTCCTGTGGGGAGAACTGGAACTGTAGATGGAACCCCACGGGCACTTAGCCACCCTGCTTGCTCAAGGAGCACAAACAGCTCATACAAATGCGTTAACCAACGAGCAGAGAGGGGGAGAGGACAGGAGGGAGGGGAGGAGGGGCAGAGGAAGGAAGAGGGCAGGAGAGGAAGAGAGGGAGGGGGAGGGAGGAAGGCCATCTCCACCCCCTTGCAAGGCTGACCCGTCTCCTTCTGGGGTCCCTGCAACTGCTGTTCCCAGTTTGAGTACTCTGGTTTCTGGTTGACATGGACCATTTGATAGTTTTAGTTGACTGACTCTTACCTAGTAAATTTGCTCCTATGAGAAGGTGTCAGTGAACGAGAGGAAAACTGTGACAGGAGGCTAGAAACCTTACACTTTTCAACATTTTTTTCTCTAACTCATATGGCTTCACAGCGAAACCTATGGGCAACCAACTGGCCTTCCGCACAGGGGAGAGCGCGACATCTCACTTCCACCTTCATGAAGTCCCTCCCCCCGCACCCACCACAGTCACTCTATGCGTCTCCCTGGGACCCACAGGGGCAGTGGGTTTTTCTGTTCAAGGTCGAAACAGATCCCTAATAAAAATAACTCCCAAAGTCACATATTTCTATTTCCTAACATAAACTGTCCAGTTTACCAGAGTTTATACCAAATCCTATAATGGAATCATTGCACTTTTGAAAACTAAGAACTCCAATAATGGGGTATGCCTATAAAAATTAAAAGTCAAAGATGAAATTCCATTTTCTCACTAGACACAAAGAAATTAAGGTCCAATACTTGCTGAGTCCAATTTGCTACAGAGTAGGACTCCTTTCACTGGAGGGTGGAGTGTCTGCACCGGAAACCACTGCATGGCCCAAGGTCAAGGCCCCCAGGTAGGACAAATGCTGCCGTCTCCACTCTCTCCTGGAGCCATGCTTTCTGAGGCCCCTTCCCTGTGTGGTTCTAGGGGCACATGTGCCAATGAAAGGAGCTCAGTCATTATTCCCAGGGTTTGGGGTTTATTAGACATGTGGCCTTGCAGTCAGTCCTACGAGCTTGCTCACTGCAGGGCCACTGTGGAGGCCCATGGAGGGGCTCCTTGGCCTTCCTTAGAGGCTCTGGTTCCTCCACCTGTCCCAGCTCTGGCCAGTGTGCTTGGTATCCGTGTCTTGGATCCTCTGCCTGATCCTTCCAGCCCATCACTCCATCAGCTCTGCATGAGGATAAACTCTAATTTCCATACTCAATCCCTTATTCCCTGCTGACACACTGAGCAAACACAAACACCGTTTTTATGGAAGAGCCACTTACCCGATTTAAGCCAAGCCAGCAAGCAGGGTCAACACTCATACTCAATTATTTCCTGGCAAATTATTTCAACAGGAGGGGTGAGTTAAGCAGTTTACTTTTTAAGTACAAGGAAGCCAACCCCTTTTTCTCTTTCTAGAGTATTTCTGTAACTCTTTCACCTGTTTGAGCCAGGTGTCAGTTCTTCATCCCCAAACTGGAGATGCCGCCATCTCCAAACACAATTTGTGGTCCTGGGGCGTTTCCATGCACATCTGCCTGCCCTTAGCTGATTCCTAGGCTCACAGATGATGTTTGATTGAGTCGTACACTTGCAACTTGTATGGTTTTATGCATGAATGTCACCCCAATAAATTCATTAAAAAATACAAAAATAAAGGCAAAAAAAAAGGGAGGGGAATTTCTGTAAACTTTCATGAAGATAGTATCTCTTTTTCTGAGACTGTGAGCCTGGATCTTCCGGGACCCTCTCTTCAAATCTGATGTAAAGCCATAAAGCTGAGCAAAGTTGGGCTGAGAAGCTGGGGATAGAGAAGCAGATTCCCGATGACAGCTGTTGAACAACTGGACCCAGTCCCGCCCCAAACCAATAGTCCCACACCCTTAGACTTGGTTGCATCAGCCAGTATGTCTTCTAAAATATAACACCATTAAGCTTGTATGAGTTGAATTTCTATCATTTACAACTGATAAACTGACGTTCTACTGAACGAGATGGGGGAATGAACATCTTGACACACCCTTGCAGCACATCACTCTAGACCACATGGGGCCGAACATGACCCGTCCTGTACTTGGGATCCCACTAACAGCCTAATCATTTTTTTGAGACACCTGGGCATCAGTATATGACCGAAATCTAGGTTCTGCAGATCCTGTGTTTAGATTCCCATGTGTATTTCAACTTTGGCCAGGACCAAGACCAAGGATACTTCTTCTGTTCATGGGTGGTGGCAGTGGTGACCTCCTGGGCATCTTGACTTCCTGTGTAACTACTGTCCTTGAGGCATCTGTCAACACGTGGTTATAGAGTGAGACTTATATGAGCACAGACATGTTGCCATCACTGATGGGGCCGATCTGCACTATTTGTGGTTCAAAACTATTATCAGCACACTTGTGCTAGAGTTGCAGTGTACCCCTGACATGGTCAGGGTCTGTCATGGTTCTCAGTCACCTTTCCTTTCCCCCAAATAGCACTGTAGTTGGAAGCAGTCAATGGCTGTCTTCTGAGGTGACATCCCAGAGCCCACGACACTAACTGGTATGCGTGACTTCACCAATCCATTCCAATCACACCAGCTATGGAATTCTTAAACGCCCATCATATTTTGAGGCCCCATCAATAGACTGTTCCTTTTTGCGCCTTTGCTATGGTATAAATTCATTGCAAAAACCATGACAGACATGAGTGTTTTTTTAAATCACCACAGAGGAGGAATGTGGGTTAAAAATCATTCACACCAACAGAAAGAATGAAACTGCAAGTTTATTTGAAAGTATAAAATTAAAAAACACACAAACCTAGCCAAAAAAAAAAATACAACTGCACACAACCTTTCCAGTTTACATCAGCTTCGAACATCACACACTATTAACCACTTAGTTGTATTTTTTAAAAGTGTCAATGTCAAATTAGAGGGGGTGGAGTCAGGTGATAAGCTATCACAGTGAAAGTATTTTAATGCAGAAATAAAAAGGACTCATTGATCTCATTGAGAAAAGAGAGCAGAGATGGTTTTCTAGTTGGCATCGATTTAGGCAATGTATAAAAAATATCCTGATTGGAATGAGTTAAAAAATATCGTGGGCCACTTATTTTGCTATCCTGAGGGGGGGAAAAAACTCCAAAAATCCCTGCAGCTTTGGTGTCTTATTTACATATTTTTAAAAACATTCATTAAAAAATCAAATCTATAATAAAAATGTCCCTGCGTTTGTTTTAAAAAACAACATTTAATAGGCTCCCCTTATCTACTAACACCATTTGTTTCCCTAAAACGCCTGGAAGCAGAAATGTACGTGAGATTAATTCACTGCACAGTTAATTAAAATCAGAATCCTTTCCTCTAAGCAACTTCCAGAGCACCAAGCAGGAGCAAGGGCCCATCAGAGGGAGAAACAGCCATTCTGACTCACAGGAGATGCGACGTTCAGCCAGAGTTCCTAACACACTCTGGCTGCCATCAAAAGTCCTCTCTTTATTGGATCACTCAGAAAATAACCAAAGTGTTATTTCAAAAACAAAAGATGCAAGCAACTAGGTTCCTTTCCTTTCCTTAAAAAAAAATTAAAAATCACCAAGTGGTTAGCTTTCCTGTAGCATCCTCTGGATTGGGTTAAGAAAAGAAGTCTACAGAACAGGATCATTGAAGGTCACTTCCTCCCCCCTGCAGGCTCCACGTGAATTCGCATCAGAGAAGCTGCTGAAAGTTTCTTAGGCTGTGGAAAGAAACCCTGAACGGGTGAGAGCTGCCCAGAGTGGCTACCCTGGATTCCAGTTTTATCCTGTCAGCTTCTTGCCAAATAAGGCCTAGGTTTCTAGGTTTCTACCCATTATTTCCCCAGGGGGTGGGCCCTGCAGCTGGCGGGGTACAGAGAGAGAGGACAGCTAGCAGGAACACGGAGGCTATGACGGCAGGAGGAAGGCACCCTCACTGAGCATCCTTGAAGAACTCGATAAATAACAACTCCAAGTACAACAGTGCACAAGCGCCTGGCACCAGGGTCGGTCTAGAGTGACTTGTGATCAGGGGTCAGTGGGACAAAGGTGTGACCTCCTTTTGCATCTTTCTTTGGACCTCACTAAAGAAAAAAACAACAAAAAAGACAGCTGTCCTATACACATATAAATAGTCCCTTAACTAGAAGGGAAAAAAACAAACACACTGTTTCAAATGCATTTCTAAAAGATTAAAAAAAAAAAAAAAGTCCGGATGGCAAATCTTGACTCCAAACTGTCCACTGTCCACGTTCCTCGGGGGAGAAACTATGGATGTTCGAAGGGGCCCAACCCAGCTCTAACCTTAACCCTACATTGGGGCCTTGGGACAGGGGTTGTATGCAGTGCAGGGAGCTGGGAGCTCTGGTGGGAGGTACTGAATACCGTTCTCACGTGTGTTAGAAACCACAGTGTCAAGTCCAAATGCACAGGTGAAATGACTTCTGAGTGTTAAGGGAACTTAGGAGGCTAGTGCTGAAGCAGGCTGGGGGTGCTTCATAGGCACAAGGGGTCAGATCAGACATCAGGCCAACTCCAGCCGGGTGCTCGTCCCTCGGCTGCAGGCAGGTCACAGCTGGGAGGCTGACAATCCAGAATCCAGGGAAAGGACTGGGGACCGCCTCAGGCCGAGGGTCCTGCCACCCTGCCTTTCAGGAGTGGAGAACTTGGATAAGCTCCTTGCAGGGCCTTCCTGCCTGTTCCAGGATGAGGCTGATGATACAGGCGGCCAGTGAGAGCTCTCAAAACGAGGATTCTATGGCCAAGTTTTAAAGCCAGAATCTATCCAGAGCAGACAGTTTCAGGGTCATTTACAAAACCTAAATGACACGGCATGTCACAAGTTTTCTTTGGCCGCTGCCTCTGCTGGACTGAGAGGGATGCATGGGGCAGGGCGAGGTTTTGATGCTCACCTGGGTTCCCCTGCAGGGCAGCCATCCCATGAGAGCCTCCTTGGGCTCATCCAACCCAAACCCCCAAACAGAGCGATCAGAAGGCAGCCCACAGAGAACGGGGCGCAGTGCCGGCCCGTCTGAACATCCGACACGGCACGGAAACTGCTTTCTCAGGGGCCACCTAGACCCCGCTTCATCCGGCCGCCTGCTCGGCCAGGTCGCAACGGTAATGGACGAATGACGCGGAGATGAAGCTGTGATCCTGGGCCCGGCGGAAGAGTGGCCTCCCAGGACAGGTGCACAACACACATCCTGTCCCTGAGCGGCCAAACGCCAGGTCACCTCCAAAGAACATCCTGAAATCTGGGGGGATGGAGACAGCTGACACCTCAAATCACTCCCTGAAGCACCCCGAAGAGCTTCCCATGAGTGTTAGGATGGTAACAGTCAGAGCAGATTAACCCACGTGGACTTTGGAGTAACTGGATTTTATACTTCTTCGGTGCCTTGGCTGGGCACAGAGTCCCTGGGCTCGGCAGTGCCCTCCGGGGGGCCGGGCTGCCCTGGGCCGTGGCCGGCGTCTTCCTCGCTCAGGAGGCTGCTGGCTGCCTGGGAGCTGGCGCTGTTGGCGCTCCCGGAGCGGGAGCGGTAAGGCGGCAGGTCGGCTTGGTTCAGGGACTCGGTGTCGGAAGAGTAGGGCGGCGGAGGGAGGTCATACCAGGCGGGTCTGCAGTGGAGAAGGCAGGATGGGGGGAGGGGGGGAGAGGAGAAGAGAGAGAATGCATTAGGAGGAGCCAAGGCAGGGCGGCAGTGCCAACTTCTGCCCGTCTGAGTGGATGCTGATGTGAGGAAGGAGGCAGGCCCTCCAAGTACAGGCCATCCAAGGTGGTGTGCAACCAGACGGGGCGGGAGGTCAGAGTGCTCTGGCTGGCTGTGCCAGCTGGGCAGTGCCCAAACCACATCCTCTGGGTGGAGCCAGAGCGAGGATGCCGAGTGTACCCTTGGCTTGTCCTGGGTGATTCGGCAGAGAGGCTTCACTCCACCAGCGGGGGTCCCCGTGGCCAAGCGCTGGCCTGGTGTTTGATGGAGCCTCTGATGAGCCACAGAATTTGGAGTTCTTACAGCAAGCTACGTCTACCTGGCTGTGTGGACTTGAGGAACATGGACTGCAAGAGGCCTCACACCACACACAGTGAGTCCCAGCTCAGAGGAAGGGGGCAGTGAGCAGAGCTGTGCAGGGAGGGCACTGCAACCTTAAAACCAAGGGGACGCAGAGAGCTCTGTCCAGGGACTTCCATTCATTCACACAAATAGGGCACAGTTCCGCGGTGGCAGGCGAGGCGACAGTGTGAATGCCGATGGCCTGAACATGTGTTGGTGTGGCACCACCAGGAAGGGCCAGGGCTCCTAGTTGGCCAGGACCCTAACTGTATGTCCTTCACAAGTAAGTTAAACCCAAGAGCCTCAGTTTCTTCACTTGTAGAACAGAGGCAGAAACAGAATCATCCTCAGCGAGTCACTGAGAAGATTAAGTGAGGTGATGCATGTGAATGGCTCTGCAGGGACTCACACGGCAGGCGCTGCTGCGGCCTCCAGCACCCGAACGCAGGCTCTTGGCGAGACCCAGGAACCCGGGGGTGCACACACTCCGCTCCCCACATGGGATGGGCTCTCCAACCCAGTCTCTCCCACCCTGCACCCACCTTTGGTCCAGCAGGGCCTCTGAGTAGGAGGGTGGGGAGCCCACTTCCGACGCGTTCTGCTCGGCCTGGCTGGCCACGTACTGGATGCCATTGTTGACGTTGTAGGTGACGTTGCAGTGGTGCGGGTGGTCCAGGACCACCAGGCGGGACAGCAGCACCGGGTGCTGCAGCCGGTGCACCGGCAGCGTCATGAGGTTGTTCCGCTTCCGCTGGTGGTGCAAGACAAGCGCCAGCAGGGCCACCACCAGCACGAAGATGACGGAGCTGCCGATGATGGCGTAGGTGATGCTGGGGTAGTACACGAGCTGGTTCTCTGAGGTCACAAACACCTGCCCACTGCCTGGTTCTGAAAACCCCGAGGGGAGAGAAAAGGGGGAGGTTACCAGCTGAGCGCAGCCCTTCTGTTTTTAGTCAGGCTCAGGACATGCATGCAAATGTTTGGAGCAGCAGCATGAGTCACAGTAGCCAAAAAGTGGAAAGCACCCAAGCATCTATCGATCAGTGAAAGGATAACCAAAAGGTGGTATGTCTATACAACGGAATATTACTCAGCCATGAAAAGGAATGAAGTACTGATAACGTGCTACAACATGAATGAACCTCAAAAACATTATGCTGAGCAAAATAAGGCAAACACAAGACCACATACTGTGTAATTCCATTTACATGAAATGTGAGAAAGCAGATTAATGGTTGCTGGGGAGGAGGGTGGGAACAGGGATCTTGTTGGGGTGATGGGAATGTTGGACATGGTGATGGCTGGACAAATAGGTAAATTTACCAAAACTCATTGACTCACACACTTAAAATGGGGAAATTTTATGTTATGTAAATCATTCCTCAATAAAGTTGTTTAAAAAGAATTAGCCCCAGGAGCTACACTATACAAGGAACGAGAGGGGTAGTTCCTGTAGCAGAAATCAGTTTTTCCTAGGAAATTTATTTATTATTTTAGTTTTTTAAAATTTTTCTCATTTTATTACAATGAAGGTTAACAGTGCAGAAAAGTCACACGTCCTTGGTGGGTCAGATTTCATAGACCCTGCAACTCGAGGAGCTCTACATGCATTAAACAGTTACACATTCAGACTTCCGATGTCCAGGTATTTGGAATAGCTACAGCGCTCACTGAGCCGGGCTGGGGACACGAAGTTCAACAGCATCTGACAAGCTGTGAAGGCGAACTTTACAAATAGCAGTGTAAGCTCACAGAACTCGGGGTGCTCATGTAATCCCAGCACCTTCACAATATAACGAAATGAACCAAATGTGCTATACTTCACCTCTAAAAACCCAGATGAAACATGGAAAAGAAGCCATACAGGATCAATTGCAGCTTCAGGAAAAGTTCCTGCCTCATTGTTCCAAATAGCTTTTTCCATGTAAAATAAATGTCCAGGAGCGCCTGGTACGTGGGAAGATAATGTTGCAGTCCCAGGGACACCTTACTAACGGAAGCGTGGCTATGGAAACAGCAGGAGTTGAGGAAAGGTTTCATCTCCGAACCCATGAGACTGGATGAAGTGAGATGAGCAACGGCCACCCTGCCTCATTCCCACTGGAGGCCCGGGGGCCCCACCGGCAGTCCCTGCCCATGCGGAGGCACAGCGCTGGGAAGGTGACCGGCATGCCTTATGCTGACCACCATAGTGACCATGGGGTGGCCCCGGGGGTCTCAATCCTTGCTGCTTTGGGATACCTGGCTGAGGTGGCAGCACACCTCCAACTGGTCCAACTGGTCCAACATGGTAGGTCAGCAATGGGAGCCTGTCCCGGACAAGTAAGATTACGCTGGCATTTAGGTAACTGTGCCCCACTCTCGTCCAGCGATGCAGATGCCCCCGAATAACCCTCATCTGAGACAGACCTTCCCTCTTAAGCTCCAGGCTTTGGGTTCATTTTCTTTCCAGCGACATTCGAACATGAATGAAAGCTACGCAGTTCCCGTGGGTCATTGTTTCAATGATTAACTGCACAGAAAGCAGCAAATAAAACCCCAGACGAAAGGCAGAAGCAAGCTCCAGGCAGCCGAGGGAGGGAGGCAGGGCCGGAACTCTCCGGAGGCCACCAGCTGCCACTCGGCGTCCTGCTGGAGTCCCGTCTGTTCTCAGCTAGGTCATTACAAGCTGGGTGGGGGCTTCAGAACTCCCATGTAAAATGAAACATCTTTTCATTTTGTTTTCTGCAGCACAGGGTTGAGGGGTTGAATCACGGGGCCATCACTGACGGCTGTTGCTCAAGCGAGTTACTGAACTTTTACGAGCCTCAGATGGCTCATCTTTAAAACGGTGGTGGTTCCGTGTAAATAACAGTAGCCATCGCCTCGGGTTACTGGGCGGGTAAAACACAATCCCCCGAATTCACCAGCAAAGTGCCCGCAGAGGCTTGCACACAGTTAATGCTACTTCTTTCTCCTTTTTTATTGTTGAAAAAAAAAAAAAA